GTTGATACATTTTAAAACCGCTATGACTATGTTACTTTATCAGTTTGAATAAAAGATAGTTTTGAAACAGTAAAAAAGAGCGTGTGCTAGTTTAGCGTAATTTTCATCTTTGGCCATCGCATACCCAGGTAAGAATGTATTAAGGCTCGTAAGCTGACTTACAAATGTGGGGGGGGGGCTTGTTTTTTCAAAAGGCGGACCTAAATTTAATTCATTTAATATTCTTCTCTGTCGATAGGCCGTAAAATCGCGGTTGAGATTTTAAAGCTTTTAAAACTGTTTGAAAAATTGCCAAAAGAGACATTTATAGCTTTGGCTCAGAGGGTTGAAACCCTTGAGATTCCGTCACCTGATCGCATGATTGGAGTAGTGACATTGAACCCTAAATGTCAAGCAATCTTTGCAAACTATGGACTTATTCTGAAGCGAAAAAAGATCTTTCTAAAATACCTCTGCCATGAAGCTCAATTTTCATCTCGTGTCTGAGATGATGAGAAATTGAAAGACACGTGTCTGAATGCAAAAACCAAATAAAAACCCTCGCGGTGGTGGTGTATTCCTTCGTTTGTTCTAATATCTTGTTTACTAGTTCATTTAGATTTGAAAAGTTTCAGACCTTTGTGGATGCTTCCTGCAAATATGGACCTGTACTGTACACACTTGCGTAGCAGGAATCTTTTTCAGCATTTCCTTTTATTTCCTTATTCTTATTTCTCTCTCACACACACTTATTTTTATTTTTTGTTTCGCTGATGCAAAAATGTGCTGAAGTACATGCATATATCTGCATTTGGAGACTTTTCAATGGAACAATAGAAATCCACTGATAAAATGATTTTAAAACACACTCTAGTTCATTGATCTCGACCCAAATACCTGACAGACAAATTCAAGAAGCGCTCGAATGTCCACACTCGACACACGTCAAACATGGACACACTACAAATACCACGCTTCAAAGCCACTGCAGGTCAACGCACCTTTGCATAAAGAGGCGCTAAAATTTGGAACAATTTGAACTCTGACATAAAGCAAGAAATCAAAATCAGACTCTTTAAATGTACATTAAAAACTCATCTGTTAAAATATTATCAAGGAGATTATTATTATTATGTTAGATTCATTTGTATTTTTGGAAAATGTTAGATACACCTACTTGCAGACTCGTAACATGGTATATGGGCTCAGGGCTCATTGCTCAAATGGCCGGGCTCAATTCCGAAATCTTGGTTGGGCTCTGGGCTCAAAGTGTTAGGCTCACGGCTCAAGAGAGCCTGTAAAAGAAGTATCTAAAAAGCACTATTTGAACTGCGGAATATTCAGAAAAGCATCGTTTCCGAAGTTATTCCGAATACCGATGAGCTTCGTGCACTGTTCCGTGCAGTCAGGTAATTCGATCCCATCTTTAGGTGGCTTGGTCGTTCTGGAATATCTGAAAATTGAGTCTTTCTTTTCTTCTAAATTTTCCTGCGTTGCCATCAAGCGAGGTAAAAAAAGTTTTTGGCAATTTTCTCAGTTATCAGTTAAATTTCTCGGTTCTCAGTTAAGCCACATGTTACTTATTATTTTTGTGTAATGATCAACAACTAAATATTCAGTTATTAAGAAAAGTACGTTTTAACAGTGTTCTTTCAGGCTAAGAAAATTCCCCAAATGGTTCTTCAGCTTTAATACTGAGCTTTGAACACTGTAGTCAATATTGGAAATATCCGATAACTCTCACAGTGTACCTCCTCCCCTTTTCTGTGGTAGCAAACTAATACTTTTACCATGCCTTTCATAACGATGATAGATGGCTTTGATCAAGTCAACTTTTTAAAATGCATCAGTAGTTATATGAAGCCGTGACATAAAGTTGATATCACACGTGATAGCCAGACAGGGACCGCGCCGGGAGCGGTTGATTATGTGGGAGGCTGATGAGCGGCGACGGCGCGACATTTTAGGGGGGTACGGGGGCATTCCCCCAGAAAATGTTGGAGTTTTAATCCTCGGAAATGCGATTTCCAGCATTTTGAGAGAATCGAGAAGACTGATAATGCATTAATTTTATGGAAATTTTGCGTGACTTAACAACGAAAAAAGGCATTTTTGATCGTTCGCACGAAGCGGTGGTACCTGCCAGAGTGTAGCACATGCAAAGCGAAGGAATTGTCTTCGGGGTCGTATCTTTTTTGGCGCCTGCATTNTGTTTTGTTTTTGTTTTGTTGTTGTTTTTTTTGTTTTTGTTTTTTTTTTCTGCGTAGGATAAGGGTTCAGCGGGTCCARCAAAGTAAATTATAAATCACAAACACAAACACGAAATTCAAAGAAACTCAATTCAGACAAATACTTTATACAACGTTTAACATGGTCGAAAGGTTTTAAGAAATATTGTCTWCTTTTAAGCCAAAACGAACTAAACGTCTTATCAATTTACCACGATTTAGTAAAGGACTACTAGCTAATCATGACAGTATGTCTTGAGCAAAATCTAATTTTTGACTGCTACAAAAGCTTCGAATATGTACTATTTTTGCTGAGATCCTCTCTTAACGTTGGTAGATGATACTATTTGAGAAAGCATTTACTTTCACTTTCGTCTTGGCACTTCCTGCGAGGGAAGGTAACACATCTCAGAGAACTCCTGGGGGGTTCCCAGACTGGCACTGACTAAAACAACGGGTGGTCATATAGTTGAATGCTAATAAGGGTGTAGAGGACAGCTTTTCTTTTTCTTCCTTTTCTTATTTTTTGTTTTCAGTCCACAAAAAACTCTATTTTTATTTGACTACATGTTTRGGATAGGTATTTCCTTATTTGTAAGGCGAATACGTACTTCCTAGAGCGGATTTCGTATGAGTGGGACACCGTTACCGCACAGTTACCGCACCTGGCCTGCAGAATTTTGGTGAACCAATGGGTCACTAGAATTTGGTTACAGTACGATTACGGACACAGTACACTACCGTCCGTTTCCCACTCATACGAAATCCGCTCTATAATAGATGGATGGTGATAGATAGATAAGATCAGAAGTACATAACCAGAAGTGTCCACCTCCCCAATAATATCGCCACCATCAGATGTCCCAATAATCTATTTTTAGACAACCAATCACAAACGCGCGCACATATTACACGGTACCTGATTGGTCCTTGTTGATCTACTTCAAGAGCGGACAAGAAAGGAAAATTATGTAGTCGATGGAGGCGAACGAAGTGAAGTTTGCATTTACGAGAATTTTACACTTTTGCTGAACAACCAATTTTGAATTCGATAGAAAACATTCTTTACTATATGAGCAATGTAGCGAAGGTAGTTCCAGAGCAATATGGTCTGCGAAAATAAAAGTAAGTTCAGACAAAGACGAAGAAAAATGTAAAACAGCATGCTAAGAAAAGTAGCGTAAAGTAGCTTACTTACTGTCAAATAGAGCTGTACTTAAAAGCCAAAGTTAAAAGTAATTTTCGACTGTTAACGTGAGATGGAAAAGCTATAAATTTTCAGGTAGGCGGGGTTTGTTTTGAAATTCAAGTTAGTTATCGATTTTTCTTTGACAACTTTTCTTGTTTGTGCATGGCTTTTCATAACTACTTATCTTGTTTATTGTTAACTTAAAATTCGACATGATTTCGTTATTACCCTCTGTATCTATTCGCTAGTTTGTTTATTCCTCGCTTTTTCTTTCAAAGAACGATCATTTTTCAACTCCTTACACAGTGAAGAGTTCACAATATAATATGAACTTAATTTGAACATCATTTTGCTAAAAGAGTTTTTGATTGACTTTTTCAGTGACATTTTTCGCACTCGGGTATCGTTTTGCATTAGTTTTCCCCTTTTTATAAAGCTATTTAGATCCTAAAATACCTTTACTACAATTCTATGTATAGTCTAAGGGTTTTATAATTCTATTAGAACAGATTTCTTATTAAAACGAGAACAATTCTCGCCACAAAAATCACATTTTAGCAGACATTTCTTCGCACTCCTTTTGTCTGCATCTTTGTCTGAACTTTTCCCTTGTTTTCGCAGACCATATTGCTCTTGAACTTCCTTCGCTACATTGCTCATATAGTAAAGTTTGTTTTCTATCGAATTCAAAAATGGTTGTTCAGCAAAAGGTGTAAAATTCTCGTAAATGAAAACTTCACTTCGTTCGCCTCCATTGACTACACAATTTTCCTTTCATGTCCGCTCTTGAAGTAGATCAACAAGGACCAATCAGGTGCCGTGTAATATGTGCGCGCGTTGTGATTGGTTGCCTAAAAATAGATTATTGGGACATCTGATGGTGTCGATATTATTGGGGAGATGGACACTTCTGATAAGATGGGTTGATCCTTGGTTGAATGGCTACTGCTAGTGCTACTTCATTTGATATAGTATTATCTCTCCTTCATCAGGTGCTGATCAAAAATTATCTAATGAGAAAGCAAAGGGAACAACAACAGCAGATGAAAAAACTTNATTTCAAAAGCAAAAAGAGCATCATCAATAGAAACTACAATAACAAGAACAACAGTTGCTGCTGCTGCTGCAACGACAACATCTACAGTAGCAGCTACAACAGCACTGTTGGTTTCAACTGCAACCAAAGTAGCATCATCATCAACAACAACAACAGCATCAACAAGAACTACAACAAAAGTAACAACAACAAAAGAGAATGAGAAACARAGGTACCTTTAAATTGAGTGTTATAAGTTGTTGATGTTCGACACAAGTACAGTTGAACATCCATTTTATTAACACCGTGATAATARTGTCGATAAAATCAATCGATCTATCCATCAATCAATCATTTGATTGAAACACTCTATAAACCAATCAATCAAAATTGTCTCTATTTCAGTGGTCAAACCCCAAAAGACAACAAAGGAAATCCTCCACGTAATGACGACATGACAGTAGTCTTTCACGCCTTGTTGTCTCCTTACTTTGATTTCAAGCCACAAGAAGGTGATAGGATAATAGTGTGTGGTGAATTTTCAAATGAAAAAAATTGGAGGATAGAACAAGTGCAAATGTCTCCAGTCAGGTACAGTAAGACTACGTTCACACGGGGCCGGTCACGTTTGAGTACKTTTTAGGACAGTTCCCACTGTTCACACGGAACCGTCCACATTATTCGGTACGGATTGAAGCAGTGTTCACACGGATCCGTTCATGCTTCGAAGTGACCTGTCCTCAAAATGGATCGGCTTTTTAGCCGGCCCCAAACCTGAACACTTTGCTAGCCTCAGATGAGGCCAGTTCCAGAGTTCCAGTGTGAACGCGCGCCTAAACTAGAACGGTTCCGAACGGAACTGGCCCCGTGTGAACGTAGCCTAATATCTAATATTAATCACTCTGCTAAACTCATCAACAAGCTTCTCTTATCAAACTTGATCAATCATTACTTGTTTTTCTGATTTTAGAAGAMCTGATAGTGAATATGTGCTTGTAGCTGGCRAGACAAAAATACCATTGAGWTTAGCGCGCAACAAACTGCCCTATAAATACGTCGTAGTTAAACAAGGAGACAAGAAGCCTAAGTACCAATGGGAAGAAATATTTGATCATCCTCCATCATCCGAAGGGTTTCATACAAATCGTCTTTTAGTCATACCTGATAAATGTCAAAAACCAGWTGGTGAGTGGCTYTCCGTTATCTGAATAGCTGAGTAGCMAAACTACACTCTSTCCTCGTACTTKTGTACACTTTTAAAATAATAATTWTAACGCGCGAACCAGTCATTTGTGTGATGAGAGGGTTGCAATGTATCTTTAAMATATATTAGGCATGCTCTCATACTTAAAGGACAGGGAAACTTAATTTACACTACTTTTGCAGGAATATGGCATCAATATGACGATGCAGTCTATAGTCCACCAAAAACATGGTCGYTTTTCAACAGGYTCKTATCTTWTCCCAACCCAGTCGAAGGGCGTTATCTTGCCATGAAGATGATGCTCCCAAAGTGGGATTCTTTTTCCATCGAAAGAACAAACGCAACATTTATAAAGGGATCCGAGGCTTTAGAAATTGTCAACCAAGTTATCTACTGCATGGAAAACAAGATGATCTCAACTAGCAAAAATCTTGAATTCAAAGACTTTTCAATGAAGCAGGTAGGACTGCTAAGTATGTTGGAACTGAGAGTAATTATGCAGTGAAGCATATCTTTCAAATTGAAACCAGTCMAAGGGATTCGATCCTATTTAACTGAAAAAAAACTTTCAAGTAATAAGAATGTTACTGGATACCATGCAAACAATTTTCCAACTACTGATTCGCCCACTCCAGATAGATAAAATCCAACACACTTTATACAAATCAGTGTTTTCCTAATCGAGGAATTATAAACATATGATAATCGGCGCCCGTGGACCAATGAGAGYGCGCAGATAATCGAGTTATATTATTTCATGACTGACTTTACTCCCGTTCCCAATAGGCTTTGTYAAATTACATTGAACCAAGGCTGSASTWCAATATATCARTACAAACAAGTAMTGAMGAGAACRTCCAAGCACATAGGCTCGCTACATCTTTGGCTATTACTGAGATTATTAGTAATGCTATGGAAGGAAATACAGCTTATYGTCCATCAAGACATAACTTGATGGCTCTGTTTCGTAGTCTTGCCATTAACGTAGAATTTAGTGCTCAAAAGCTGCAGAGGATCTTGGAAAGGCTTGCAAAATATTACYCCAAGGATAGTTTGAAGTAGGTGTCTATCTAAAAGTACAAACGCTAGAACGACCTTTTGTATACGAAGCCATGTATCTTGGTTTATTATATAGATGAATTCTAACGCGCGCTCTGATTGGCCAAAAAAGTGTGGTTTMTGTATTCTATATAAAAATACAGAATACTAAATGATCTATTAGTATTCTGTATTTTTATATAGAATGCTAATAGATCTGTTATCCTGCTATRGAAAAAAATATAAAATCCTGATAGACATCGATCTAGTCAAAATTGCACGTATTTACATTTACGATCATTTTTCTTGAGGAGRTTAAATGAATTTTCTGCCTTTACGTTTTGTAGAAGCCTGTTAAGGCCGGAAATAATCACAAATATAGATTTTGATTAATATTGTACTCCACTCTTGTTGGCAATAACTCTCCGACGAACTTTGTTAACCAAGAATATTTAGAGAGTTCAACGTAGTTGGTGTCATTTCCTTCAGCTTCTTGTCAAGATTTGGCACATTATCGATATCACAGCTAAACTCAACGCTCTYGTTTGTTACTGAGTGTTAATTTTCTTCCCTTGCTTGTTGCCACTCGTGTACGGCTCGAATCTATATATCCYGATAAAACACGCAYTCTCGTTCTATAAACTACAAATAAACCACGATTGCGCTCAAAAAAAGATTTTTGCTCAAAATATATATAATAAAACAAGTTTCAGCGAGTGCTTCTGGACATTTTCTCGTGTGTTTTAAATGCCAAGCGTGCGTTTATCAGAGTATAAACCACGGCTGAGTCTTATTTATTTGTTAAAAAATAATCGATTGAGGTTGTAACTAWAGATAGTTATTTTATTCTTAGGTCCAGATTTTCAGAAAGCATATTGCACTTGTGTCAGTTCACCATCAATAAGTACCCGGAAAWCTATGATTGGCTTCTTGCAATGCCATTGTTTCATTTTTTGAGTGAATYGTGTCAACCGTACAAGGCCCCTCTTCCCTTGACTGACCCTGCTGCTCTGCAAGAGAAGTTATGCTGGGGAATACATCATCTCGACCTGGCAACCCTACATGCACCAGCACGGACATGGCAGAGGTAAATAACTTTGCATAACTCTTGTATAACTCTAATTCAAAACTTCAGTGTATACTTTAAATCAAAAATTTCGAATTCAWTTTCAGGTCTACTTTTGAATTCCTTCCACAAGTGAAGCCACTCTTTGATCTGGATCCACTGCTGCAAAGAACCTTCTTGCTCAGTTTGCCTTTCAGCAATCTTGGAGAATGCGCACACAGAGTAGGCATTCCTCCTCACGAAGTCTGCTGGGCTTTGGCAAGATTCCTTCATTATATGAGCACTGATTACTTTACACAAGAGGAGGTGAAAATCCACTTGAAAACCGCAATTCATAATATTTGAGATCCTCGGAGTACAAACAAAAAAAGACAATATAAATTATTTTCACGAATTGTCTTTGTTCACTTCCTTTTTATGGCGTTGTTTTTATCTTTTTTCCCCAAACTCATACAGTTGCGTTTTTGAACAGGCATCATCCATCGACAAGTGTAGGAAATCTATGTCTGAAGCACTGGAACAAAGCAATGGTACCAATGATGGGAAACAGTAAGTTCATCAGTGCACCGCTTTATAGCTACACCAGCTCTCAACTGAAAAATAGTGGCTATATATCCTGTTCTGACTGCTCTATATCTAATATTTGCATTGCAATTTCAATTTTAGAGAGCCAATTTACAACGAARAGGAACTTAGATCTCTTTCTATAGCTTTACTTCAAGTAATAGACAGATTTCTCGTGTTTTTTAAGAAGAACATTAATTTTATCTGTGGTTTTCTAAATGTTTTGGCCAAGACTTTGACGATGCTTAAAACATCCTGTTTGTCCACAAATGGAGACAATGTTGAAAAAGATGGAGAAAAGTCAAATGATGAGTTTKCCAAGAAACACTTTGAAGAAGCTCTCAATAAAGTTATTCAGGGTCTTAGACGATTGTATACCGTAAAGTTTTGTAAAGCGAATGCTACATACATTAACGAAGAACTGTTTGTAAGTACTAATTCATTTTTAGATAAAGAAGGGAAAGTATTTTTGCGATTTTATAATTTTAGTGCTATGAAATATGAAAGGTTTTAATGGCCCATTTATTTTTGTCGTACAGATGTRTTCGAAGCTCTACGAAACTGAAATTTCAGACGAAGTGTTGCTCGAAGTTTGTAAAGGTAGTCTGAACAAACATCTTGCTTCACGTATCGACAAGGTAAAGTTTGCATAAGGTTTGGGTCACACATTAACCGAGTGTCAAGGGTTTGCTATTTACAGTCGTCGAATTAGKKTGTTTGGAGAGAAGGGKTTGYGGTGGGAGGATGGGTGTTTGAGGGGGGAGGGGGTCCTGMAGTTGTCCCTGATGAGGTCAAGCTTGATAGATTTATCTTACCTATTACGATATCTTTCACATTCTACAATTTAGATGAATGATATGAAGAAAATTGAATTCTACTCAAAGCWAGATTTCAGCAAATTCCATAAAGAAGTGGAAACGTTTTTTAAGGGTGCTGCCTTTGGTGCTGTGAAAAACATAGCTAAGGTACATATAGCGATGTTTCTCCTCATTTCAAGATTTTTATGGCTGTGCAGTACATTCGTGAAGCGACTGTTTTGTTTGAGTGAGTGACGAATCTGTCCCTCACTCAATCACTCAGTCACTCACTTTCCTGTACAATTGAATCCGCGTTACTTGTGTTCAGATCTATTTTTTTTCTCATTATTTCCTAGTAGTTTATTCATTAATTTACCGTTACCAGGTTCCCTGTTCTATATTTGATTGAATTTATTTATAAGATATTACTGTTTTCTGTTCAGCTACAAAAGTTAACCTGTTTTAAATCTTTTGRCCGATTTTGTTATAGTTGTAACCTTTACAAAGATATTTCAACTTTTCTAACAAACCCAGATGAATTATCTTGTTCATTCCTTTGACAGGAATTACAYTGTCTCAATTCGATTTTTCTTCTTTGCATTTATATCAGTCTTCTTATTTTTACATGTTATTCAGAGTGAACGAAGGTCTGAACATAATGAAGCTTTCAATCAGTTAAAACGTGCAGGAGCAGGAGAGTCCAAAAAAGTGGGTGAATTGCTGTCACTATTGATGATACAATGCTGGCCCAAAAAAGTTGAAGAGGAGTTAGGATTGCTGGAGCATATCTTAACATGGAAACCATTCTCAGACTACCTTCGCTTTTTCCGTATGTATGATAAACATTTTTTTTGTCTTTTTCGTGCTTTATTGTCAGCAGTTGTAGTTCACATTATAYCTGAGAGAAATGAGTTTTTGGAAGCACAGTTAGTTTTTAACGCTATGATCAAAATTGGACATTTTTTTTATTTCAGGTAGAGGTCCTGATAATTTTTCTGATAAGTGCAAGTTTCTGCTCGCACAGGCTATATCCCTTCTTGAAACAATTCAACACAGAATATCGAGTAGTAGCATTAAAGTCAACACATTGCAAGTTATTCAGAGGAAWAAAGAAATATTCTTGGAACTTGTTACCCAAACCAAGGGAGATGATGAGCTTAAAAGAAATCTAATTTCTGAAGACCTCGAAGAATCTCTCAGTATGCTGGAAATGTTTGAAAATGAGCTGAAAGAATTAAAATCATTCTTGAAAATCCCCTTTATCATCCAAAACGGTGAGACGTGGAATTATGTAGTTATCTAGTTTAGCCAAGGAATGGTGTATTGCCAAATTTTCTGAAACATAAACCAATTACATCCATTGACATCAAATGGTCTCATCCAGCATTTCTATTTATAACCTGCATGCACTTTTTTACCTTTTTCGCAACTCTTAATTTTATTCTGTTTAAAATGGTTATCCAAAAACAATGCTCTTTGGACAAAGAAAAAGAAAAAATGTTCCTGATTTTTGATGAGCTTTGATGTTTTTGCTTTTCTACACAGTGGATGTRCAACACATTAAAGAGAGGGTTGACATTGATGTATCAGAAYTCGAGATTCAAAACTTGGCAGTGCATTTGCARRAAAAGRTCAAAGTTAAATTCTTTCAAATTTCCGATGAATTAAAAGAAATGGTCAGGAAACTGCATGTMGTCTTCCCAAGTGAAATCTTCCAAAACATTTGGAAGCAAAAWTTTAAAGATGCCAAAAAAGACTTCGGWWGTGATAAAATKRCMCTGGAAMCAGTTTTAGAGTCGATCTGGAAGCCGACCTACCRCGAATGTCGTGAACTACTTTCTTCAGTGTTCAAAGGGRAAATCTCCTTGGAAGAAGTGGATCAATACTTTCAGTCGTTCAAAAACCGATGCCAAGATCTTCAAAAAAACTTKTCTATCCTCTCTAAAGCATGTGGCATWGTCGTTGAAGAAGAAGATGTTCTTAGTCAAGTGCAAAAGATTGAGAGATACAATAAGATGAAAGCTTGCATTAATGCTGCCGAGAAGGTATTAGAGTTCCAGCAAAATATGGAGCTCGATAGAGGTGGATTTGCAGTCGTGGAGGAATTGCGTCTTCAGGTAATTATCAATTTATTGATAACTAGAATGTACCAACCAATAAATTATGTCATAAAGGCATTGACTTCAACTTGGCTGAAATAAAAAATAAACCTTGAATGTAATATTGATTGTAAGATAAAAGCGGCTCATTATTCACGGTTTTCCACAGGRGGAAGGGTATGATGCGGGGAGGGATGGTCACCATCAACATAGTCATAAGATAAACAGCCRAAAGATTTGAGCAAATCATTTATCGGAACTAGGTCTCAGGATCCGCACCCTACTTGTCAAAATGCATCGGTAGATTATTTAAAATTGCAATGGATCAATAGACTACCTACCTTAATTTCTGGATTGTCTTAGATAAGTCCCGAGTCCAAAACAGGAACCGTTACAGTCGTTGCGAGATGACCCAGAAATAGAAGAACGACTAGAAGTATTATCTGATGGGATAATAGATTGTCTAGATGCTGTCATGGAATCGAAGGAATTTATCGCATGGCTAAAAAAAGAGGTTCCTGGTAAGAAAGTTGATTTCAGTTCGAAATATTAATCCTTTAACTCGGCAATATGTGTTCAGACTTGAACTGGAAGCTTTACTGTAATTTTCTCACTCCTGACTATCGACTAACGTCTGCTTAATAGAGCAAGAGTGTGACAGACACTAGGAACCTTTKCAAAGGWAGTAGTTTTAAGATCTAGCATGCATCAAGGTTATTTATTTGTGTTATCAGAACCAAGTGAGGTCAAAGTCTTAGTCGACCTAGCAATGATATCCGCTGGAGAAGGTGACATGGAAAGTGATCGCATTAGAGCATTGCATGCATCAACTGGAGCATTTAAGCCAATCATTTACGACCTTAAGGAAGATCATGGCTTTGGCGAATTGATGGGACTATGTGATGGAATTCAGAGAGCTCTGGAGGAGAATCCAAATCTGCCTGAGCAATTGGTRAATGTTCTTCCACCATCATATTATTGTGCCTTTTTTAATCTCGTGTTTTCAGTCACTGTTTTATTTGATTTTATCTCCTGAATTGTCTAACATCTCGTCAACTCGTATACATCAACTCTTTCTCCTAATATTGCTGTTTCTTCTGTTGTTTTTGTGTCATCTTCTCTTTTCGMACTTTCATCTCGTCTTTGTATTTAATTCCTTCTTCTTGTCCTTTCTTCTTCRTATTCTTCCGGCAATTGATTTTGTTTTTGTCTTGTCATCACATTCTAATACTGTTCATTTCCTCTTTGATTAACCATTTTCTTCTCCATTTCTTATCATTTTATTTGTGCAATTGTCCTTTTCCCCTCCCTTTCATACACTATGTAAAACTTCAAAAGATGGTTTGGTAATCACAAATTGATGTTTTCCTTTTCCTTTTTGTCTCAAGCGTGATACAAGCAGGAACCTTGAATGGATCARGAATGTCAAAGACTTCCACGGCTCTGCTGCCATGTCGTCTCTTATGCAAGTCGAAACAATTCTCGACAAAGGTACTCTTACGATTGGATTTAACAGCAATGATGATGAATTAGACATCGAGGATGTCATAAGTGTGAGATTCCAAAATGGGACAACCAAAGGACTGCCAAAAGAGATTTACACATTGGAAGATTTGCGAGACTTGCAGAGCAAACTGATGCTTATTGCTGGAAAAGCATCAGGTAAAAAGGAAGTGGTTGATAAGTTTAATGCGGTAAGAGAACATTTGGGTATTTGTAAGTTGTGGTAATTGCAGAATCACAACAATGTCAATACAATGCCTATTTTCCTTTTCAAGGTCTTACAAGGAGCGATTACGGTAGGAGCAGTGTATCKTAACCTGTGCGAGGCTGGAGAAGTAAGCCATCTYGATTGGAAAGAAGAGTTTCCTTGTGCAAGCAGAACTGGAAGAGACGACGTAACTGATGTCCTGAAAGAGACGTGCGATGACTTAACGAAGTGCTTCGAGGCATGGATAGCAGTGTTGGACGTGCAAAGAATGGAAAACAATGAATTGAACTACTTTACTGCAAAACAGCTCTTATATCTACGAAAAGAGATCGCAGACTTGAAAAGAGGAAGGGATTTTGGATCGCTTGAGGTGCAGGTATAATTTCACAGTTTTCACAAATGTTACTRTAATGTAATTGYCTAATTTTTGAAGTTATAATTGAAGCTCCTTTTAACAAATTGCAGATATACACTCTTCTTAACAGTGTCCTACCCGGGGCCAACGCTGATCAACTTCGACAAGCCCTTATTGCCATTGACATYGATGTKGACGATCTGGATCTTGACCAGCCTCCTAAACAAGAGTCAACTGTTAACCAAATTGAACCCAATTTAAGAGAGAGGTTTAAGAAATTCTTCGAAAGTGCTGAGAAAGCTAATTTCTCAGAAGAAGTTGCTCTTGCAGCGATAGTCGCCTGTGACTGTCCAGACGATGTATCTAAACTACTGGTGTGGTGTATCAATAACAGCAATAAAGACGATGAAATTGATGAATTGTGTAAMCGAGGGTCAAGAGATCCAAAGTTCGAAACGCTTTTTCCTCGAGCGCACGGTGAAGAACACAAAGAAGCGRTTGTTGAAAAAATRGAAGTCGAACAGTAAGTCGAACAGTAAACGAAATATTTTAGAATGAACTGGATACATAAAATAAAGATAAAATAATTTTTGTATTTTTGTATTTGCAGCCAGCTTAAATGACACGCGCATTGTTTTGTTCTCAGACCATCTTTATTCGGTGAAGACAGTGACAGGAAATTGAAATACTGTAATTCAATCCATATATTAAAAAAAKATTTSCCTTCCCATGCTGCCTTTCGGACCTAGTCTCTATGATGCAATCTTTCTTTTTATGTCAGTAAGGTGTAGATACAAATATGTTGAAACTTTGTTGCGTGCTTATATTCAGATCTGAAACAGACAATGACGATTATGGACAGAAACTTGACCAAACTTTAGGGGGGCTATACCTGAGTCTTCAAGAGCTGAGTATCTTATTGAGAACCTTAAAGAACATCTATCAAGGTTAGAAAAACATTACAAAATGTCAGTTGTCAGGATTATTTTAAGAGGCAGTAAACGTTTAAGGTGTTTCATAGCGGACTGATAGTAATTATGTATCTTTTGGAAACTAATTTTTAGACGAGCATCAACCAATGGTCTTCCCTGAATACCTAAACAAAGGAGCTCCAAACCTTATATTTGTGCCTCAGAGTAAGTCGCTTCAGGCGTAGATTTTAATTGTATTACCTTTGCAAATTGTTAAAGTAGATTCCATAATACATCCCGATCATAGAACATAAGTCTCTAAGTATTTTTGTTTTATTTAAGGTGATATTTTTGCTACAATCATTGGACTTTATCGTGATAGTAATGCTGCTCCTACGAGGCATGAAGTGTTAGTTTGCACTCAAGATACATCTTCGGAGGAGGTAAACATCCTCGTCATCCTATTCTGCCAAATACTGCCAACATTGTTATATATTGTCATCATGAAAGTCATTATCTTAAAGAGATCAACAACATTTGAATACGATAATTRTCTTGTTTTAAGTAAATCATAATGCCTTGTGTTAAATCTTACACTAACGATAATCTCAGGATGTATTTTTAGAGGCTGTCTATGATGATCAAGCAATAAATAAATGAGATATAAATGTCATCCCCAGGATACATTTATATTTATGCCTTTCTTAGGGCTCTTCATTAAATGTGGGTTGGGGAGGGCTGGAGGAAAATTAGGGGAGGGGGCGCTTCAGAAAATAACTATCCAACAATGGGTGGGTTTCGAAATACTTCTACATGAGAAAGGGGGGGACCCAAAAATAWGTAAAGATAAAGACATTTGAAACATTTGAGACATTTGAAAAGATAACAATATGCATGTTAACATAAGTAAATCCATTTCTTCTTTTGGGGGGTTAACAAAATAATTTTAATGATTTGGGGGGGTAGGCTTTTGATAAGAATATTGTTTCTTGAGATATTCTTCCAGCCCACCCCGACCCATATTTAATCAATAGTCTCTTAGTGTTGTCTTCTTTTAGATTGAGCTGCTGTGGCGTCGAGCCCTCGCAAACAAACAAAACAGGTTTTACTGTTTGGCAAATGTGGACAAACTAAAACTTGATGAAAGTGTGCAAGCTAGGAAAACTTTCGACAAACTTGAGGAAGAATACGAGCATAACGATGGTAATATAATTGTTAAAACTATGTATTTTGGTTGTTCGACCATGATTTACATTGAGATATAAATAGGGAACACTGAGTGCGACATCATGATGATCAAAAGTGGATTTTTTTGCAGATTATCGGCTCGTGTTGATTTGTAGCAATGAACAAGAAACAATGTCACACATGGCCACAGCCTTCGAAAAGCACCGCAATAAGGGGGCACCGCGATGCCCACGCCGTGACGAAGTTATAAGGTATCTACAACGTTACTTTCAAGCCCCGCCTGTTGCGACAGTTCACTGTGGCAATCATGAAATTAACTGGATTCCAGCTGCTGATGTTGAAGCTCAGATCGCGGAGGATTCCAGGTATTCAGATATTCATTGATAAATGTAAAATGTGGTAACGGTTAATTTAGTGTGTGACTTGTGGAAAACGGCATACGAGGTAAACGATGCATTATTGATTGCCGATAAATTATCGATTATATGTGATGTACTTTAGGCTGTCAGTGCTTATGATATCTTCTCAGCGCGCTGGCACAGGAAAGAGCTTGGTAATCCAAGACTTTGTCGAACTATTAGAGTACTTGGACAACAATAGACAGATGAAAGATCTCATGAAAGACTGGGGAGAGCACGTGACCAATTACATCATTGCACCGTTGCTTGGGAAAACTGTGAATGTTTCCGAGACTGTTGGATTCCTGCTCCCTTACTCACTAAAATCTGACATCCCAGTGTCAAGGATCTTCCACTTTGATGTGGCACCATGTGTAAGTTTTCTGGCTATTTTTACAAAGGTTTATTTTTAGGTTTTAAAAAACTTTTTTAAATTGAAAATTAGACTCTTTTATGTGGGCTTCCTGTAGCTGCGGCAAAGGTCAGCTGCCGCCATTAAGCTATGAGTATTTCACTCTCACGATGGAGTCTTTGTTTGAAATAGTCATTTACATCTTTATTACATCTTATTTTTTTACCGATCTGAACTAAGCACTACTACACCCTTTGGTTTTGTCATATGATTTACATTCATGGCTGATAAACAAACCAGTTGGTGACAGTAAAGCCGTAGATATCGAGATCAGGCCACGAGGCGGTATGACGTACAAAATAATACATGTCAAAAATGGAAACAAAGCGCGTTTTGATTTAGTACGAAAACCTCATGGAAACTGAGAGTGCAGACCATCGGCAACGCAGGCGCTACCAATTGGAAGCCTAATATTCACGACGACGAGGACGGAGAAAAGTCCACCGACATTTTTAGACGTGAGCTTCCACAGGAAGCCCACGTAAAAAAATAAGGTTGTCATTCAATTACATTATTATATAATAAGAGAGTTATTGAGAAGAAGGAGACCAATACAAAAGAGAGATTTTAAATAACAAATCCATTCAAATCACGATATCTCTTCATTGTTCTTTCAAATAAATCATGGTCTTGTTGAAGCGAATAGTTTGCCCAAATATGCCCAAAAAGGGCATTTCAACCTGCAAGTTTGTGGATATGAATGTCACTTTGACAGTGACTTTGTCAGTTCTTCCTACAAACTTAACAATCATTTTTCATTTAGGTGGAGTTTGGTTTGGACACTCTCTTGTTCAATCTACTTTACCTGGGCTCCATCCAAGACAAACGTGGTCGTGTATGGAATCGAAGCGCACGTGACCTATACGTCATTGAGAAGACTTCGCCTTTCTCTAAGCAAAATGTGGTAAGCATAAAGATGTCTTGTCATAACCTCCTCCACAGACCTCTTTACTCCACAGGACTTCCCTGTTCTCTTTTTGGTCTCTAATTTCTCGGCATCCGTTGTTTTTGGTAAAACATTATCACCACAGTAAGAACAAGAAGAATAAAATGTCAGCTTCCTTTATTTTCCTTTATATTATTATAACGAAGAGGGGTTGCGTAAAATTCTCATCTTCTCCTTTTCTCACAGTCTCAGTTTTTTAATGTTTTGGATGTACTAGTTTGTTTTTGTGTGTTATTATAGGCTAAAGACTGTGATTCTGTCCATCAACACTTCTACGATGAACTACCTTCCATACAGTGTATCACTCCATGCCAAGCATTACGAAAGTCAGGTATACAATCCAGAGCTTTACAATGAATGAATGTATAGATAAATTAATGGAAGGATAGTTTCATAGGCGATTTATTAAATTATAATTATAATTGTCATCATCATCATCATCGTCATAATCATCATCATCATCATCATCATTACTTAATAATTTTCAAATTATGAAAATATCCATTTTTTTCAGACGTTTCTTTATTCAATTATAAGAAGTTCCAAAGCGAAGCTGTTCAACGAGTGTTCCAGTATTTACGACTTTTGAATATTGGGAGCGAACGTCTTCACGACTTTCAATTTGACCCAGGAGATCTAATCGATGACGTCGAGGAATGTCTTTTTCTATTGACTCAGTATGTAAAAGGCTAAAAGCAGATTTCGTATGGTTGTGCCACAGCACGAATCAGCTCATTGGCATCACATAACACGTTAAAGGGGCTTTTGAGTTGAGAAGGGTTCTTGACGAAACTCATTTTAGCTTTGCGTTTTGCACTCTCATACGAAGTCTGCTCTTTTCCATTGAAAAAGTAAGTTTTCGTAATTGAATTTTGCTAATAACTGAATGTTTCAATTCCCCAGGCATTGCGGAATTCGCGACCCATCATGGTCTGAGCTGCAGTATTTTGTTGATTTTCTCAACTACCAGCTGTCAGACTTAGAGCACAGCGTTTTCTGTCAAATAGAAAATACCGGCGATACTTTGGAAGGGTTTCGCTTATTTGTCTTAATATTCATGACCGTTATGTCACAGGTAGGGAGTTATTACTATATTGAGCGTACTCTGTTGTTAAAAATCTGCGTATCACGAAATTGGGTATCCAGCCTTGAAAACTTTGGCAACTCGAAAATGGTTTTAATCTAAGTGGCCAGCTTATGCCTAGTGCCCGAATTGTCCCAATTTCCCGAAGAAGCGTATCACACGGATATCGGGAATTAGAGGGATGAACACGCTTGACATCTCCAAGATTGCAACAGGCCAATCTGTGATGTGGCCATCGTCCAGCTTTAATTTTATCTATTCCCATATCCTGGCTCTGACAGCTTTTATTTTTTTTAGGATTTTTCCACACGATCATTGGGCGAAGAAGTAGCCACTGCTAACCCAGACGAAACAGAGGACGAAGACATCGGTCAATTTCAACTTCGCCGAAAATGGGAAAGCAGGTTTGTTTGCCACAGCATATTCCAAAATTCATTACCTCCTTGACGTCTGATGACATCATTGATATAATTAGGTGACGTCACCTATTACATACTTGAAAAAATGTTTCTGTTTCTATTTTTAGTCCTCACCCGTACTTGTTTTTCAATCCTGATCACGCGACATTTACGTTTCTGGGGTTCCGTATTGACAGAAATGGTAACCTTATCGACCCCGCTAGCGACGAAGTCATAATACACAGTCTGATGCCAAAACAGTTAAGAACAGGGCTCTCTGTACAAGGTGTAAATTTTGAAGAAATCTTCGAAGGCTTAGAAAAGTAAGATGCATCTGTCTTAAACCCCGGGGAAGGGGGGTACTCGACCCCATTTTGGATAGGTACGTGCCGCCAGTGGTCTAAAACCCTGACCCTGTTTAAGACGCTAGAAAGTGAAAATCCATACCCTGTTCAAGACAAATCGGAAAAAGAATATAGGAATAGCTATCTACGCCGCAACCATCAAAACTGCAATTATACTGACATCCATCAAAGACAATAAGACGTTTTTGATAACACGTTAATCCTGTAGGCGCGTAGCGTCCTTTACGCATATACGCACGTGCGTACTAGTGGCAAGGAAATATTAAGATTTTCACAAAAATTACTAAAAAATCACTTTAAATTGATCCCTATTATATTCCCTCGATGTCTCTCAAAACGCTGGAAATCGCATTTCCAAGAGTTAATATTTCAAAATTTCGTGGAGTAGGTCCAGACTCCCTTAATACTCCCGCCTTTGGAGGTCGTTATACCCCCAGATTCAAAATATGTGTCGCGGTCCCTGACATGTGCGTACTACACAAAAAGTCCACGCTACGCGCCTGTCCTGGTACAGTGAAATGGCATTCCTACTATTTCTACGGTATTTCTTATGAAAATATTACCCTGCCCAAGACACACAAAAAAATTCGGAGTGTCTAAACGTCAGGCAGTCGAATTTTTTCGGGCAGTCGATTTTTTTTTCTTTTTTGTGCCGTGCTTGTGCCGTGCTAGTGACTGTACAAACTTGTCGAACAGTATTATTTCGGTCTTTATTGCATTTCCCTTGTTGTATTAATTGAAATTAAAGTTGTTTCGACGATTTTTAGAAAACAAACTTCGACCGCCTGACGTTTAGACACTCCGAAAAAAATTATATCGGTTTTTTATCTAAATTGTAGAGCCTCTTTAAGACAATTTCGGGTGAAATGTATACCCTGTTTAAGACAGCAAGGCCAAAAACCATACCCTGGCCAGCTGCACGTCCCTGTATAGCAAATATATAGGAGAACGCCCCGGGCTATAAACTAGCACTAACTATCTCTAACTATAAATCAGGGCTGAAAAAATTGCAAAGATATGTCGAGTTTTGGGTGTTGAACGACCTTCAGATCCAGATGAAAGCTACGAGTTAACTGAGGACAATGCCAAGAAAATGCTTGCCATCCACATGCGTTTTAGGTTTGTATGACCACATGAAACTCCTGGAATAGAGTTATTCCATTTGATGTCGCTTAGCTGTTTCACAAATTTTTTCATTGTTTTATCATGCAGATGTGGGATCCCTGTGGTGATAATGGGAGAGACCGGCTGCGGCAAAACTAAACTAATACGTTACTTGTGTGGTTTGCAACGTGGGTATGATGGCCCTAAGAACTTGCTTCTTGTGAAGGTATTTAAGGCCTATACCTAACCTTAAATGGAACGGTTGATCAGGGTAGAACCAATATATATAAATTTAGTTTTTTACCTAGAACTATCATTGATTGGAACGAAATCCCACAGAACATTATCGAACAAAGTAATCATCACATTCAATTTGTTAAATTAATAACAACACGACAGTAATCAAATATTATAATATTGTAATATGCATCAAACCTCATGCGCTGTGCAATTTATTTTTTGTTCTCAAAAGGTAGCACAATAAAACTTAAGTGAAGTGAAGTGAAGTGAAGGGTAATAATGTTCCTATAGACTACTATAAAATACATCAAAGTTTGTGTTGAATAGGCTAACCGAACAGTGCTAAATAGCGCAGTATAGTTTAGATTACTCAATAGAAAACAAAGGAATACGCAGAATTCAGTACAATTCAGTTAGTACTATTTAATAAATAAAGTTTTTCGTAGTTCAAGTAGTGTTTGTGAACTGATGAATGATTAATTATATATCGAGTGGATTTAAAATTCAATCACCTCACGAAATAGAGGAACCTAACGAGCCTAATAGTTCATGAATTCTTATTCTTGCTTATTGAGTTCTACGTATTGTGACTGCCAGGTTCATGGTGGAACCACATTCCGAGACATAGAGAAGAAAGTCCAGCAAGCTAAGGACATGGCAAAAGAAAACATCAAGCAGGGCATAGAAACCGTCTTGTTTTTTGATGAAGTAAACACGACAGAAGCTATGGACCTCGTAAAAGAAGTCATGGTTGACCGTAGATTGAATGGACGTCCTCTTGGAGAGGAAGATCAAGGCTTACGCTTTATTGCCGCCTGTAATCCATACAGAAAGTGAGCATCAACGAAGATATTAAAAGGATCTTCTACTTCTCTGGACTGCACTTGTGTCGCTTCACGATAGAGAAAGTGCAAATCTGTCTAAACCAGATAAACTTCCGAAGCAGTAAATAACCAAAAAATATGTATAGATCAAATTAAGTTATTTTGGATGTAAATATAATTTGTCGTTTTGTACGGTTTTGGCAGGTTCAAGACCCACGGAGTACCAAAGTTTGTCGTACAAACAGTTTCGTGATTTGTCTTCTAGGATTTAGATCCTTTCGATATGCTGCTTACAGACAGCTTACATGGTGGAAACATGGGTATTTGGTTTAGGCAGATGTGCACTTTCTCTATCATGAGGTGACAATAGTGCAGTCCAGAGAACGTCCCGATTTTAAAAATATTTAACAGACAGGCTCAAAGCTTTCGTGGTTTGTTACAGCGTACACAAGAGTCATAAAAGAAACTAATTGTTTTACTAATTGTTTCTCAAAATATGTAATACAATTTTCTAAATCAGCGTTAAATTCTACATAATATAAGATCAACTTGCTAAGAAGTAGAAGATCCCTTTAAATGATACTGATAATTATATGATGCTGATGCTGATGCTGCTGATGATGATGATGATGAAGTGTCGGCTTGCTATTGCCTGATCTTTGTAACTCAGTTAAAAATAAGCGTGTTTGATTTTATGGTGAAAAAAATCATTAAAGAAATGTGGATAAGGATTGGATTTATCCAATGGATAGCGAAATTAACCGTTTTCGAAAACAAATATCAGCTACTGAGGAGTGACTCAACGGCTCTGAATTATCTTTTTTTCCTAGGCATACAGAGACAATGATCAAGAAACTCGAGTCCGCTGGACTTGGTTATAACGTTAAAACAGAAGAAATCAAAGACAGGATCGGTAAACTATAAATGACGATTCAAGTGTCATATTTTTAGTGATGGCGTATATTTTTGATCTTACAGGTCGTGTACCTCTTCGCCATCTTGTTTACCGTGTTCACGCCCTGCCAGAGAGCATGCGTTTAATGATCTGGGACTTTGGTCAACTGAAACCTGAAATCGAAATATTATACACAAGACAGATAGTCAGAAGACATGTAAGAACGTTTCTTATGCAAATATTAAGCAATTATTGGATGGGGATTATCACGATATCATGAATTATGGATGCCTCAGCATATTATACACCACAGCTTTAAAATCCATACTTAAAATGTGCTATCTTGTCTTAATATAGATATAAATAAATATTCGCATTTACTTTGGTTCCTTTTTCTTCGTCTGCCTTTTTGCTCCATCCGATCTTTTCAAGCTTATTAATTTTGTACTGCATCCTTTTTCATGCTTCCTGTATTTTCATTACTTTCCATGAGTATCTTTTGACTAAATAAATCTTAACATCAAGGTAACCCAAGAAGGGAATGGTATTCCTGGTGACGAACGTCTGGTTGATGCTATAACTGCAGTTCTGGCTGAATCTCAACGTTATATGAGAGAACAAAAGGTTAGAAATATCTCCTTATATTTACAACGTTTTTTGATGTGAATTTTAGACGGGGTGGAGGTGTTTATATTCACATGGTTAGACCGACCTAGTGACAAGGTTAAGCTATTTTCTGTGTCTTTGTAATGATCGAGCCATTCTTATGTCAAAGAAAATCAAGCTAAAAATCACCACGACAACTATTATTTATGATAAATTTCTTTGGAAGAAAATTGCGACAGTGCACTTTGAAGAAAAATTGTCTTTTATTTCATTTAGGACGAGTCTAGCTTTGTAAGCCTACGTGATGTGGAACGCACGATGAATGTGTTACTTTGGTTTCATGAGCATCGAAATGTCTTTGAGCCACTTCTAAAGAAAATGTTGAACCAGGAAGAACAGTTCCAGGCAAATGCAGCTAGCTCCATCCATCCATCAGACAGCAAAGACAGCAACGAAGGCAAAACAGAGTTGCCGTCTTATTTCAAGAACGATACTGAATCTCAAGTAAAAGAAACTTTGGAGGAGGAAACTTTTAGTGAGGTGGAAATGGTAAAGCAATACACATCAGGACTTTTTCCTGGAAATCAAGTTGATGAGGAAGAAGAATTAAGGTCTGCATTTTTAAGATTTCAAGAGTTATTTCACCAAAAAAATATTGAAGAACCAGGTCTATTCGTTTGTAACCCTCAAGATGATGATGATGATGATAATGATGATGATGGTGATGATGATGATGATGATAAAATCAAAGTTGAAGAACTTAATGATGATGGCGACGCTGACCTTGAATTTGACATGACGAAGGTATTTAATCTACTTTAGTTAACCTTATTTCCTTTAGAAATAAAGTGAAAAGTTGCAAACTTGTCTCATATCTGATGCAGATCCATCGTTATCATTAAGTTTGATCCAAGACAATACTTTATTCTTTACTATTTGTCGTTATTCATCTTTACAGCAAATTAATCCCGTTACTTGGTCTCTCATTCTTGCCATTGGTGTCTGTTATCATGCAAAGCTTCAAGAAAGAGGACAGTACCGCGAACAAGTAGCCAAGGCCTTCGGAAGCCCGTGTACCTTGCACGGTGGACCCGACAGAATACTGCAAGAAATAACACGGTATGCTGGAATGATATAGTTTAATTGAATTGTTATAAGGCAAAAAGATACTAGATTATTTTTAGAAAATGCTATCAAAACCTTTTGATTGGCAGCTGTCAGAAGGCCATGTTACAAGAGCTTGATCTTGGTCCCAACATCGCACGCAACACTGCCCTGTGTGAGAATGTCTTCATGATGGTGGTCTGTATCGAGCTACGTATCCCTCTCTTTGTTATCGGTAAACCTGGAAGTTCAAAATCCCTGGCAAAGACGGTCGTGGATGCCAACATGCAAGGCGCTGGATCAAAGTCGGAACTTTTTAAGTCTTTTAAAGAGGTAAAAGAGTAGCATCTATAAGGAACAACTACATTGTATCACTGGAAACAAATCGCGCGCTTTAAAGGTTTTAAATTTGATGTAAATATTGATGTAAGTGTCCAAAATGATGTAAATTTAATGGAAAATCATTTACATCCAGTGGTATATGTGAGTATGGCATAAAGTTGGCAGTATGGTAGCATTTCATAAAGAATTCCCTTTAAACTACAATGACATCATGTCATACTATGCATGACTATTGCTTAAATATATCAGATCAATTGCCTAATTAACAATTACCAAGACTTTTATTCAGAAAAAGAAATATACAATAGATACCAAGAAAAAACGAGTTGTACGAAGGATGAAAGGATATATAGCTTTATCCATACGATAAATCCTTCTCCGGTGATATAGATCCACTCTTCGTTCAACTGGCCCCAGCCTACTGTACAAGAACCATTATTAATTAAAGCTTTATGTAAGCGGTGGCTTTGTTTATGTCAGGTACAAATGYTAGCTCACCAGTGCAGTCCTTTGTCCAAACCCGAAGGGATCACGGAAACGTTTCGACAGTGTTCAAACCTCCAAAAGGACAAGAACCCAGACAGGTTTGTATCAGTAGTAGTGTTGGATGAAGTTGGTCTTGCTGAAGATTCACCGCTGCTACCACTAAAGACGCTTCATCCTCTACTTGAGGATGGTGTGACATCATCCGATGATATCATCGAAACCGACGAGAAACCGACGAGGGTTGCCTTCATTGGGATTTCAAACTGGGCCCTAGACCCCGCCAAGATGAACCGAGGAATAATGCTGTCACGTGATGTMCCAGGACTACAGGAGCTTGAAGACAGTGCTATGTAAGAAATTGTAATGCCAAAATTTGGTTCTTTTTAAAGTGCTACCTGCATGAAAACGCCCTTATTTCAAAACTTCAAACAATACAAATATGTGACTCATTTATATTTATTAAAAGCAATCGGGAAGCAAGCGGGAAAATATTTGTTTTGGAATTATCCCACATCAGAGAAATTTTGATTCAAAAGATGGAAGAATAAAAGGATGGAGTAAATGACGTCATTTACTTCAACATTTTTTTGTCCAAATTATTAAAGATTTGTATATTTGTATCTGTTTCTTCATAATTGTCAGACCCATATGGATAGACTATTTGATTTTCAAGTATTTTCTAATGTTTTGCAATTTTCATCCAAGCAACCTCGTTCCCAGGGCTACTCTGCTCGCTTTTTTCAAAATGGCGGACAGAGATAGCCCTGGCATTGGCCGGTCACGTGACACCCACTCTCAGTGGGTGTTTAGTGTGGATTACCGCTGAATGCAGGCGCTGTTTGGTTTTGGAAAATGATAATGTTCGGAGCAACATTTAACTTTTTTCAACTTTTCAAAACATTCTTAAAAGCTAATTTTCACACATTTTAATGCAATCTGGAAGATTCCCGACAATTTCATTAGATTCCAATCCGTGTTTGAATGCACGTCCAGAAAAACTTGTTCAACAAAGAAAGAGAAGGAAAAACTTAGTCATTTTTGAGGGATTGTCAATCCAGTTTAGCAAAAATACTAATGGGGCAAGAGTGATAGGGGAGGGGTGGTTTAAACGAGTAGGTGGTAAATCATTATCATGATTGTGACAATCTAATTATGCAACATATTTGTGGGTAATCTAATTATGCTTTAGTAGGTGACCTATATTGTCTCAGAATAAAGGTAATCATTAACCTTTTCTTCAGATAGTAACTTATGCGATCGTTGAGTCTTGACATAAAATATTACCAACTAAACAATGCATAATTAGATTGCCCACAAATACGTCGCATAATTAGTTTGCCGCATTTATGATAATGAACCACCTACTCGTTTTGAATGCCCCTCCCCTATCACTTTTGCCTCATTAGTGTTCATCCCTAAAAATTAATTCATACCTCCCACTTTCGGGGATCGAGAGGTCCATTGCTTACTACTAATATTGGATTAAAATCAAAGCATTGTTGTGACATTTCACCAATTCAAGTTTGTGTAGGGGTATATGTGCATCAGAGCCAGATGTTCAAGAGCGAATGGCTCCCATAATAACTGCCCTAGCAAAAGCGTATCAGGAGGTATATGAAACACAGAAAACCCTTAATGTCTTGAAAGAATCCAAGAAAGACGAATTCTTCGGATTAAGAGATTTTTACAGGTATACATCTAGTACTACTTATTAAAAAGTCTAGTTTCTAAATTGTTCTCCCGAGATCATCCTACATAGTTTTTATCGTATTTATTGATATTTTCATCGAACCCTGAGAAAATCATTTGGTACGGTTAAACAAGTTTGCGGGGTTTTTGCTCAAAGGCAATGCATTTTTCTCCCAGTCTTATCAAGATGATATTCAGCAAGGCCAAAGACACTCACTTGGTTCCTGGATGGGATATTGTTGAATACGCCGTCAGACGTAACTTTGGGGGTCTTCAAGGTGGAGATTTGGATCCAGTGGATGTCTTTATGAAACACATGGGCGTACCGCAACATCGTAGAGCGGTAATGAAAGATATAATTTCATTTTAGCACTGTGACTGAGCAAAATCAGCAATAATTATACAAAACAAATGTAATGTATATCCCTTAAAGCTCAATTGAAACGTTTCACCAGAATTGATAAGAAAATGTATTTTAGTAAAAAAAGGGTTAACTTTTAGGATAATGATGGAAGGACGCTGCTGAGTCCTTTTGACCTCATAAAGTCAAGTCTCGACAAGGATACTTCTGAAGAGTAAGTCCTTATTTATTACCACTGCTTACTGCTACTTGCGTACTCATCCTGCTGTAGTTGTAGAAGTACCAGCAGTAGTAGATTGAAGAAGCAACAGCAGGATGAGTAGGCAAGTAGCGGTAAGCAATGGATTACTGTTTCCACAAGTATTTTATCGTTTTATTTTCTGTATACAGGGATAGTCGATATTTGTTGATTTTGACTGAAAACCATGCAGCTTTGAGTATCGTTCAGCAATATTTGAAAGAGTCGAGGAAAGAAGGCGATGAGAACGATCCAGTTTTGATCTTTGGAAGCAATTTTCCTAAAGATCTTGAGTATACCCAGGTTAGTACCTACAGCCGAATTTTAAGATTCATGGGAGCTTTCATAAAATCGCAGGCGCGAGCATTAAGTGAGGCATTTGGGAGCAACATTTATGAAAGCGCCAGCGCATCTCGGGAATCGTCCATCTCAATCAACTCAAAGTTTGTCATATTCCCTTTTCGATTGACTATTTTTAGGTTTGTCGAAACATCAACGACATCAAAGTCTGCATGGAGACAGGACGAACTGTTATACTCCTCAATATGGAAAGAATTTAGGAAGGGCTTTATGACGCTCTTAACCAGGTAATTCAACAGACTAATGCCAAAATAAAGACCACTTCGTGGCATTCTCGTCCAGTGCTGATCTGTTGTTGTTATTTTAGTATTATGTACATTTTGGTAACGCAAAATATGTGGACCTTGGTCTTGGAACTCACAGAATCAAGTGTAGAGTGGACCCAAACTTCAGGTAATCTTTTCGATAATGGACGTCTGGCTTAAAAAAACGATCCAACGATCACTGGGAGAAGAGAAAATTTGAATATATTGACAATGCAGGGGTCGTCAAATGAATGGAACCAGAATTTTACCAATATTGTGGTTTTGAGTATTGAAATTTATCACCAGGTTGATTGTTATAGCGGAGAAAACCACAGTTTACAACGATTTTCCTATTCCTTTGATTAACCGCCTGGAGAAACACTTCCTGGTTTTGCCAACAAGTCTGTCTGCTCCCCAAGAAAAGCTAGTGGAAACTCTCAAGGATTGGGCGAAACGCTTCGCAAGAATCAACACACCACAGCATCACGGCAAGACAAGGTACAATTGTTTCGTTTTTTAGGCAGTTAGGTGCCTCATTTCTGTCATCATTTTCTTTCGAATATTTCAGTGAATTTTCAAAGGGCGATGCGTTTGTTGGCTACCACGAGAACACCATCCCGTCGGTGGTGCTCCAAGTCTGCAGCAATCTCGGACAAGATGAGACAGCATTGGAAGATGGGCAGATGAGATATGATTGGGAGGAAAAAGTAGGTTACAAGCTGAAAGTTGACGATTCGTCATTTTCATTTCATTTCATCTCACAAATATTACCCATTAATTCTATAAGGAATATGATAGTTTAGGAAAAAAGTATTTTGTTATATTGTGTTTGTGGGACAACTCCTCCATCGACAGTTTTTAACGCATAAAGATGTGAGACTGTTCATGTCAATTAATATGTTTCGACATCACAGGTTTTGGCAGAGTCCAAACGACTCTTAGTGCAATGCTGCACACCAGATGCAATTGCCAGATTGCACTCCAGTGATCTGAAGAATGAAGCTGATGACATTTGGAGCATGTACTTTGAACAGCAACACCACTCAAGTCTGGCAGAATTCTTAAAAAGCAAAGAACGCGACGAAGGACTGCTCATTCAGGTAAGTTTAACGATCTAATACTGTAATAATTGATAAATTAATAGTCTTTCATCTTTTGTTTTTGAATTTCAACTTGCTTTGTACATTAACTTGCAATTTTTCAGGTATCCACTCATTCCAGACTGTTATCAGAAGACGACTTGGAGGAAGTTGCAGGAGCTTTAAAAATTCATAGACATTATGTCGAGATTTTCACTCTGCAACAGTTTCAGACAGAGCTTCAGTTTTGTGATCGAGTTGGGTAAGTGGATAATAATAATAACAGGTGATGAATATTACATCCAAACAACCTTTTTGTATTTAATTTCTCTTAAAGAAAATTCTTCGCTCATCTTGGAGGTGAAGAAGGTCTTCTTATCGTCCAGTGCATTCCAGCAGATACCACATTCAACCTTTTAGCCTGCGCACGCCATCTTCTTATGAAGCAACGAGCTGAATTTACAGAAGATGAAACAGATCTCGACCCAATACACATCATTGTCATAATCCAGCTACCCAGAATCCCTGGCGGATACCCTGATTTTGTTGGTTTCCAAGGTCAACGCTGGGAGTCTGTTCACATCGATGAACTCGCTACTCCTTCCTTCTACGTCCCTTCTTTGGAAGATGTAAAGGACCAGTCCCTCAGTGAGCTGTTTGAAKCCTGCATGTGTTATAATGATTCTAAAGATAATGCCCTGGACGCTGTTGGTGTTCTAAGACAGTGTGTGCAGTCGGCAGCGCAGAGGATTAACGACAATTCCATTACAGTTGAAAGAGCAACTCGGAGAATCGTCATATTACTTGACCAGTTTTCTAAAGATGGAGACAAAACACCAGGTGAAAAATTTAATATTGTTTATGAATATTAGTTTAATGTTAGGATCATTCTGAAACAAAAGGTTTTCATGCGGTATTGATTTCATTTTCATCATTTTTGATTTGTGCATCCTCTCTCTCTCTCTCTCTCTCTC